TGATTGAGAACTGTTAGAAATTCAAGCCAAATTCAGAAGAGGAAGTGAAATGAGGGATATCATTGCTGATGTCAGATGAATCTTGGCTGAAAGCAAAGAATGACAGAAAGATGTTTACTTGTGCTTTATTGACTATAAAAAGGTATTTGACTCTGTGGATCATATTGTGAAGAATGGGTATTCCATAATACTTAATTGTTATCATGAGTAGACCAAGAGGCAATTGTTAGAACAGAATAAGGGGATACTGAATGGTTTAAAATCAGAAACATGTATGCCAGGGTTTCTTCCTTTCACCTTTTTTATTCGATTTGTATGCTGATTAACTAATCCAAGAAACTGGATTATATGAAGAGAATGTGACATCAGGTTTCAAGTAAGACTCATTAATAATCTAAGATATGCAGATTATACAACCTTGCTTTCTCAAAGTGAAAAGACTTAAAATACTTACTGATGAAGATCAAAGACTACAGCCTTCAGTATGGATTGCACCTCAATATAAAAAAAAAAAAAACACAAAAGTCCTCACCCCTGGATCAATAAATAACATCATAATAAATGGAGGAAAAGATTGAAGTTATCAGCGAGTTAATTTTGCTAGGATGCACAATCAACACTGAAGGAGACAGTCAAGAAATCACATGACATCTTGTATTAGGCAAATCTGCTACATAAGACCTCTTGAAAGTCTTCAAGAATAAAGATAAAAGTTTGAGGGCTAAGGTGTCTGACCCAAGCCATAGTATTTGCAATTCCCTCATATTAATGTGAATGTTGGACAATGAATAAAGCAGACCATATAAGAATAGATACTTTTGAAATATGATGCTGGAGAAGAACATTAAAATACCGTGGAGTGCCAGAAGAACAAAATCTGAGTTGGAAGACATACAGCCAGAATGCTCCTTAGAAGTCAGAATGGCGAAATTTTTGTCTCTTACACTTTGGGCATGTTTTCAGGAGGGGCCTGTCCCTTGAGAAAAATATCATGCCTGTTAAAGTGGAGGATCAGGAAAAAAGAGGAAGACCTCCAAAGAGATATGGATCGACACAGTGGCAGCAGCAATTGGCTTAACCGGAACAATTGTGGGGATGGGGCAGGAGCAGGCATTGCTTTGTTCTGTCATGCAAAAGTCAGAACCCACTGGGCAGTACCTAACAACAACAGCAAAATGAGTCTTACTTATAATGAACAGAATATGAATCCTATTTACCATAATTCTTTATCCTATTTTTTCCTCTGTCTATTCTTTCCAACTCACCCCCATCATTGGCCCTGAAGGATGAAATATGCATTTGTGACAATGACAAACAAAAGAATGAACTTTTTGAGTATTATTCCAGATTTTTTCCATGAGCCTAGAAATTGCCTTTTTTAAAAAAAGTTTTTATTGTGAATTGAGTAATAGTTTACATGGGAGAACATAGGTTTTACACTCATAATCTCCTCCATGCATCGTCATTCAATATGATTTGTTTCCATTCCCTCTGGTTTTTTTTTGGAGGGGTGGTGGTGGTGGTGGCAGGGATGTACACAGAAACACTCAGGAATATATAATTATTTAAACAACCAAAGGGCACATTCTGTAAGCCTGCCTCCTGGCTGCCAGCACTCAGTCTTTCTCTTTCTATGAGTCTAGAGTCCTAAGTTGCTCTCTATCCATGTCCTCATCTCTGCCTCCATCTCTGGTGTTGCTGCTTCTCTGGATAGAGTCCCACATTCCACTCATGCTCATCTCCTTTGATGGTCCTAGGGTCCTCTGTTTCTGGACTGTAAAATTAACTACTCCCCACTTTTTGTTACAAAACTTCTACCTTTACAGTTGTGACTGTTGCAATCAGTCATGGTAACAATTACTCACTATTGAATCATAAGGATCTTTTCCCCATATTTTTTCACCAGACCCAACTTGACAAGATGAAAACTATTCAGTGGGGTTTTACCTTCCCCCGGACACTCTTAAACTAAACACCCCCTTGAAAACTTGAAAGCCACTTTGTGCCTTTATCGCCCCCTCATTTTAGGTAGCCAATGTCTAGGTTGCCCATTCTTGTCAACCACGTATACAGAGGGAATAGGATTGATGTTGATGTGAAGACTCCTTTCATTTGGCAAAAGTTTCCTCTTAAAATGTTTGCCAATAGAGAGAAACACTGTAAACTAATGATATATAGCGGGGATAATAATCAATGTAATGAAACAAGCTATATGAATGGTTGAATGTTAAGCTGATGATGTGCCCTGTAAACTTTCACTCAATGCAAAATAAAAACATTTAATTAAAAAAAAAAAGAAAGAAAGAA